AAGCATCAGAAGATCCAGTTTTTCCAAAACAACAATTTCCTCCTGTTTCTTTATGTCCAGAATGTAGAAAACAAGATGGAGAATTTGATGGAGAAGCTATATTGAATTTCTTGATCAGTTATTATAGTAATTTAAAGACTGATGGTCTTCGAGTAAGTTAGATTATGGACTATTTTCTTTACGAAACATAAATAATTAGCATAGACTTCTAAAAATTTTACTCTATTGTCACTTTAAATTTTTTTTTTTCTTTTTCTTTTAATTATATCAAATTTGTCTAAATTTGTTTGAATTTTTGGAGTTGTTTAAATTTGTTAAACTATTAAATTATTTTCAGTCTGCACCTACTTATAAAGTGAGTGATTTTGAAGATGGTAAATTGGTAGCTGTTGAAACGAAACATTTAAGTCCAAAATTGCAAATAGGTGCATTTGATGTTGATGCTATAGAAGAAGCAGATCAAAAAGTTAGTAATGAATTTGGTGACATACCTGGATGGGGATTTGTTGACAGTGATGCTTATGGTAAGTGTATTCTTTTTTCATTTAAATATCATTAAATAAATTATAAATAAAGGAAAAAGTATATTAAATTTATACATTTCAAGGTATTATATATTGTGAATTGTTGAATCATCAAACAGTTGCATTAACATTCGATCAATTTTTAAAGTATATCTGAAATCGATCAACAAACATAATAAGCCATGGTATTATTGTAAAAGGCAATATTTGTCAAGCTTTGTTGTCAACTTTTTGAATTTGAATTAATTTCATTATTTATTAAGATTTAGATATTTTAAGTTCTTTATAAGCTTGATATACATATATATATTTTTGGATCATTTCTGTTGTTCAACAAATACATAAATATTGCATAGTTTCTTTTTTTTTTTAAAGTCTAATTGATATTTCTACGCTAAAATATATGAGATATTTGTTTTGTATAGTTTTTTCTTTATTTTTTTTTCTCATTTAATTATCAGTTATCAATATCACTTATCAAAGTGTTGAAATTGAATGACTTAAAAATGATATGTTGATAATGTGTATGAAAGTATTTTTGAGTATTATGTAATAATCTCGATAGTCTTTTCGAGATTTAGCTATTCATATATATTGAATAGAATTATTTCATTCATATAAGATGCATTTTATAATTTTCATCTTATAACATTGTCGCATCTTTTCATAAATAGAAATTTTTGCATCAAATGAATGAAATGTAAAAATGTTTTTCTTTTTCTTTTTTTTTTTTGAATATAGAAAAAAAAAATGTTTGTTTCTTCTTTCATCTAAATTAATCAAATATATGTATTCATTTGTTTTTATTAACAACGTGTAAACAATTAATAGGTATTTTTGAAAAAAAAAAAAAAAACTTATTATATGTTCCATTTTTTATTTGTTTTGTAGGACGTAGGTATAATGGTGGATCATCAGTGAAACGATCATTTTCTATATTATGGCTATCGGTCATCGCTGTGGTGGTTCTTTTCATCTATATGAAATATCGGCGAAATCGTTTTAAAATCTGGAAGACTTTTTATTATAACGACTACAAGCTGTGATTTTTCAATTCGATTCAGTGCCTTGATGTATTGTCTTGATTAGGAAATTTGAGAATAAATTGAAAGATTGAAAAATTTAGTAATAGATTTTTTTTTTTTTTTTTTTTAAGTGACAAAGACGAAAACTTTTAAGTAATTATAGGAATAAGAATAGGATGTATTATAATTGTAAAAAATAGTGAAAAAAATTTTTAGTTAAAATTATAAATAATACAGTAAAATAGAGGTTAGTGTGAATATTTTTGACGGGTTTATTGTTAGATATTATTTAAGTTTTTAAAAATTCTAGTCTATTAAATGAAATGTGAACATTTTAAAAAAAAAAAAAAAAACTGAATTAGGAATTTTTTATTAGTCTGTTATTTCTTTTTTATTTTTTATTTTTGTTTTTTTTTTTTTGTTTTTTGTTTTCTTTTTTTGAGCATATCCCTCAATATTATTGCTATTTGTTGAAATTGTTGACAAAATTTTGTGACTGATGACATTACGAGACGATATGTTTCATCTTTTTTTTCATTTTTTTTTTTTAAAAAAAAAAAACGATTTTCTAAAACTGATAGTTTTGTTTTATATTTAGTATATTCAGATATTGAGAAGAGAGGGAGAGAGAGAGTTGTTACTTAAATATTAAGTATAAAAATGATTCCTGTTAGTGATATATTAGTTAACACTAAGATGTAAGGTTTTAACTTTTAGTTCTATTCATCTAATTTGATGGTAATATCTCGAGAAAGTGATCAAAAAGGTTAGAATAATCATTATTGTTGTTTTTTTTTTTTTGTTATGATAACAACATAAGGCACTGATTCGAACTGATAACTGTACAGGAAGAACCTTCTGGTACTTCCTGGTTCATTTTTTTTGTCTTCCAGAATTTTCTAAAAATTTGCCTCTTTTTTTTTTTTGCTCTCCTTTTATCTTTCATAGATATCTTAATATTATCTAAAAAAAAAAAAACCCTCAACTTTTTCCGTTTGTGCTTGCCATCATTTTTTTTTATTATTATTATTATTTCTATTTTAAGTTTGAAGCACATTTAAAGTGTTTATGTTTTTTTTTTTTTTTTTATTTTATTTTATTTTCAATTTTGTCACTTTTTTCTTTTTTTTCTGCATATTTTCCCAATTGTTTTCACAAATCTCACATTTGCACCACCATTCCATTCCATTAAAAAGCTAACATTTATTTCAAACAAAAAAGAAAAAAAACAAAACAAAACAAAATATTTTTTTTTTTTCAAAATAAAATTTATTAATTATAAATTTTTAAAATTTGCTTCTTTTTTTGTTGTTGTTGTTGTTGTTGCATGAAATTAGTAGAAATTGCATGGCAAAAAAAGAAAAGAGAGAGAGAGAGAGAGGAGAGAGAGAGAAGAAAATGTAAATATGATTAAATGAAAAAATTTATTTTAAATAATTGAAACTAAGCGTCTTATAGGTACCCATGGTCTTCGAGTTCATCGCAACTAGTGCCGAGATTCGAGTTGTAAAATTTTATTGTTGAGAGAAAATTAAAATTACTCAGTATGTACTTTATATTACTTCTTGAAGTTTTTTTTTTTTTTTAAATTAATTAATGTTATATAAGTAATATTTGTTTTGTAAGATGACATGATGATGATGATAATTTATTAAAATTTTTAAAATCATACATGGTAATCATACTTTACTACTAATAGATTTCTCTTTTTTTCTCTCCAAAAAAATGATATTTTATTAAAGAATATCAAATTTTATTTTCGTTCATTTTTTTTGTGTGGGGGGGAGGGGGAGGGGAAGGAAGGAAAACCTTTGAATTTTTTTTTTAATTTAAAATATGTAAATTAGAAATTTACTGCTTTTTTTTTTGAAGACATTTTTGAATTATTTCAAGAAATAGTAAGAAAAAAAAAAAAAGGAAAGTAGATGAAGTGATGAATTTTTTTTTTTTTTATATCAATGAGATTACTTCTGATAATGTATTATATAACAGTAATAGTATGTAATGAAATAAATAATAGTTATATTTTTTTTTTTTACAATTTCAAAAGCAAATTAAATAGTAATTGAAAGTTTTGAAATTTGAAATTATTATTTGTATGATTTATATTAATTTTCAAATAAAAATTTGCATATTTCAGAAAAGGGGAAAGAATGATCAGATTGAAATGCTTCAAAAAAAAGTATTAACGTGTGTGTATCTATCTCTTCTTCATCATACTACTACAATAATGTTGTTGTTGTTGTTGGTGGTGATGATGATGATGATGATGATGATGATGATGATGATGATGATTATATTTGATGATAATAATTGATAATGATGATTATATTTGATGATGATTTTATTTCTTTGCAAAAAAGAAAAGAAAAAAAGTGGAAAAAGAAAAGTTGTGATCAAATTTTTAGAAAAATATTTAAATTATTCGTTTTCTTTTTTTTTTTTTCTCAGCTATCATTAAAGTTATTCATTTTTATACTTGTAATTATTTATTATTAGCTTTGGATTTTGTTTAATTCATTTATTCTTTCTCAATTTTTTTTTTTTTTTTTTACTTTCTTCCTTTCACGTCGATTTAAAAATTTTTTTTTCACGTTAATTTATTTGTACTTTTATTATCGTACGCACAATCGCACGTGAGCTTTTTTTTTTCGTTTTTTTACTTTGCATGCTTATTTGTCATCTATCAAAATTATTTATGATAGTTTAAAAGTAATCAAAATTCAAAAAAAAAAAAAAAAAAAGTTATAATTTTTTTTTCCTTTTTTTAGAACTGTGATAATTCTATTTGATGGCCACTTTGCAATAATGAATTTGTGAAATATTTTTTGTCAATTTTTGCGCATTTTCTTTTTTTTTGCATTATTAAATATATGTGCGTTGAGATTTAACTTTTGCCTTATTATTTTTGCTATTGTATAAATTTGACTGTCACTTTTTTTTTTTTTGAAAATTTTTACATAAATATGGAATGAAATTATTTTTAATTTCTTTTCTTTTTTTTGCATTTTACCTATGTTTTTCTTTTTTTTTTTTTTGTATTGGGTTCTTTCTAACAATTTCATGCAGAAAATAAAAAGTAAAATTTTGTCTTTTCCAGTGATTATTATTTGGTTTTTAAATTACTGATTAATTAATTGATTACTGCAATAAACATTAGTCCTTCAATATGTAATATTTACAGAGGAATATTTCGATCAGTTTGATTTCGGTTTCTTTTATTGATAATATATGCAAATGATAATTTCCTGAAAAAAAAAAAAAGAAATTCACAAAATCAAGTATTACATTTAATTTTTCATTTGATAATTACTTTCTTGGTTTTGAGTTATGAAAATATTATTCAATCAATTGCAGTTAGATAATCAATGATCGTATAGATTGGAAAGTTTCAATGTTTTACAGTTTAAATATTTAGAGTTATACTGATGACTGATTAGGTTGGGTTGACATGATTGTTGATAGATTAGGTTGGGTTGACATGATTGTTGATAGATCAGGTTGGGTTGACATGATTGTTGATAGATCAGGTTGGGTTGACATGATTGTTGATAGATCAGGTTGGGTTGACATGATTATTGATAGATCAGGTTGGGTTGACATGATTATTGATAGATCAGGTTGGGTTGACATGATTATTGATAGATCAGGTTGGGTTGACATGATTGTTGATAGATCAGGTTGGGTTGACATGATTATTGATAGATCAGGTTGGGTTGACATGATTGTTGATAGATCAGGTTGGGTTGACATGATTGTTGATAGATCAGGTTGGGTTGACATGATTGTTGATAGATCAGGTTGGGTTGACATGATTGTTGATAGATCAGGTTGGGTTGACATGATTATTGATAGATCAGGTTGGGTTGACATGACAGTTGATAGATCAGGTTGGGTTGACATGATTGTTGATAGATCAGGTTGGGTTGACATGATTATTGATAGATCAGGTTGGGTTGACATGATTGTTGATAGATTAGGTTGGGTTGACATGATTATTGATAGATCAGGTTGGGTTGACATGATTATTGATAGATCAGGTTGGGTTGACATGATTGTTGATAGATCAGGTTGGGTTGACATGATTATTGATAGATCAGGTTGGGTTGACATGATTGTTGATAGATCAGGTTGGGTTGACATGATTGTTGATAGATCAGGTTGGGTTGACATGATTGTTGATAGATCAGGTTGGGTTGACATGATTGTTGATAGATCAGGTTGGGTTGACATGATTATTGATAGATCAGGTTGGGTTGACATGACAGTTGATAGATCAGGTTGGGTTGACATGATTGTTGATAGATCAGGTTGGGTTGACATGATTATTGATAGATCAGGTTGGGTTGACATGATTGTTGATAGATTAGGTTGGGTTGACATGATTGTTGATAGATCAGGTTGGGTTGACATGATTGTTGATAGATCAGGTTGGGTTGACATGATTGTTGATAGATCAGGTTGGGTTGACATGATTATTGATAGATCAGGTTGGGTTGACATGACAGTTGATAGATCAGGTTGGGTTGACATGACAGTTGATAGATCAGGTTGGGTTGACATGACAGTTGATAGGTCAGGTTGGATTGACATGATTGTTGATAGATCAGGTTGGGTTGACATGATTGTTGATAGATCAGGTTGGGTTGACATGATTATTGATAGATCAGGTTGGGTTGACATGATTGTTGATAGATCAGGTTGGGTTGACATGATTATTGATAGATCAGGTTGGGTTGACATGACAGTTGACAGGTCAGGTTGAGTTGACATACAGTTGACATTATTGAGTCATGAGGATTCTCTCTCTCTCTCTCTCTCTCTCTCTCTCTCTCTCTCTCTCTCTCTCTCTAAGCATGTATTGCTGTCAGAGATAGATTTGACAGGTAGTTGACAATATATTTTGTTAATTTTATATGTTATCCGTATAATAATATCGCATTCATACAAAGATGGGAAAGAAATGAAAATTAATATTATTATATGAAACAGTTTCCTGCATAAATTATCATACTTTTATGCTACTATCGATCCTTATAAGAAAAAAAAAAAAGAACTAAAATGTGTTATACTGAATTTATTAAAATGGATTGAAAAGATTGAAATTTCTTTTAAATCTTTCGAGAACTCTTCCTTTTCTTATTTAACAATAGAAATGTAATTATATATATATCAGAATGGATGTAAGAAGTATATATTATATTATATTATAGAAATAAGATAAAATAATCAGTGATAAAATTTAAATTTGTAAATCTGCGTGTAAACAACGTAAAGGAAATTAGCTTAGAACTAGAAAGATAAATTTTTAATTTTAATAATAGCATTTTCATGAAAGTTAATATTATATGAAACAATTTATTTGATTACGTTTGATTACGTTAATACTACGTTTGATTACGTTGATACTACGTTTGATTACGTTAATACTACGTTTGATTATGTTAATACTACGTTTGATTACGATTAATACTACGTTTGATTACGTTAATGCTACGTTTGATTACGTTGATACTACGCTTGATTATTTTAATACTACGTTTGATTATGTTAATACTACGTTTGATTACGATTAATACTGCATTTGGTTACTTTAATACTACGTTTGATTACGTTGATACTACGTTTGATTATGTTAATACTACGTTTGATTATGTTAATACTACGTTTGATTATGTTAATATACGTTTGATCACGTTATTACTACAGCAGCACGTAATTATTACGTTCACGCAGCATTCTTATCAACGTCACAATTAATCAATTTTTACGTGTTGCACAGAATTTATTATGATGATAGAGATTGAAAGGATTTGCGAGAGAACAATGGTAATATGGTAGATTGAGATGAGAAACAGATAGCAGTTGGATTTAAAGTATTTGTTGTGATGGTAGAGATTGAAAGGAATTGCGAGAGAACAATGGTAGTTGGTTAAGAAAATGGTCACGTGGAGATGATTAAGAGTTGTAAAGGATGAGAGGACGAGAGGGAAGTGGGATTGTTAGCGTACGGCGAAGCGTACTTGACGTGTTCTGCGATAGGTAAGTACCTTTTGCTAAGTTATTGAGTTACCTTGTGAATGGGTGGGTAACTTTTGTAAAATGATTAAAAGTAAATTGGTCTTAATTTTAGTTATATTTCTGATTAATTATATTGTTATTGTTTTTCATTTAAGATTGAAGACAAATAAATTTCAGTTTGTAATCAAATGCAACAGTGAAAAGTATATCATTGATAATTTTTAATTATGGTTGACAGGTTAGTATTTATGATTTGAATTAAAGATTGTTTAATGCTAATAGGAAAATAATTTGCAATGAATAAATTATTCTTTGAAATGATTAAAAAAAAAAAAAAAGAAATCCGAAATGGTTATAAATTTGTTTCGAAAAAAAGAAAAATAGTGTAGATTGCAAATTTAATTATAAACTTTATTTTCATACTTATCTTTTATTATTGTAAATTTTCATTTTGTACTCAGTTTTTATTTTCATAATTTCATACTTATAAATTTGTTATTTGTTCAGATTGGGCGATACAGTACGTCGCGATTATTTGCCTAATGCTAATGATGCGACAAAATTTCTCAAAGATTTGACATTAGGTGCTGGTGCAGCAGTGGTAGCGAAGACAATTATAGCTCCAATTGAACGAGTTAAATTAATTCTTCAGGTATACTTGGATAAATTTTTGCTTAAATTTCATTTTCATTTAGAAATTATACAGGTTATATGTACAGATTTGATCATTTCAAATATTTGTAACGATATTTTCAAGAATATATGCATTCCAAATTTTTAGTTCTCGAATGAATTTTTTCATTTTCCATTTTTAAAAATGAATGCTTAGTTTTGTGCTTTCTTTCATATTCTATGATCGATGTGAAGGCTTATATTCAAAGGAAATTAATTAAATTCCCTTTGAATTCGATGTTTAATTTAGTAATTATCATTTTAGCTGCAAAATGCACAGGAAACTATTGCAGTTGGGAAGCGTTACAAGGGTATGCTTGATTGTTTCACGCGAATACCAATCGAACAGGGTTTTCTATCTTTTTGGCGTGGAAATTTAGTGAATATTGCTCGAGCTTGTTCACAGGTACTTCTCTAATCACTGTTTTTTTTTTTTTCCTTTTTAAACATTAAAAAATTATGTTTTTTCCGAGGACTAGTATTGTGATCAGAAAAGTTGATATTTTCATCTGATATTCTGATGTCCCATATGATGAACATGCTGTCGAAGCTAAACGGAACTTTTTCTTGACGTTATATGGATTTTAAAGTTATTCAAAATTTTAAATGTGTTCTTTTTACATAAACTATGTCTGAATTCATCGTTCTATTTTCTTGAGGATTATTTATTTTTATTATAATTTGCAAAATTGCCTTGCTTTCAACTGTAGTAGTTACAGGAATCTCTTGGATTTGCTTTCAAGGATTTCTTCAAAATTTGGTTTCTTAATGGTGTGGATGTGAAGAAGGATTATTGGCGCCTTACAGCAGGTTCATGAATTTATTGCTGGATTTGAATAAATTCAGAAGTGCCACTAGTGAGTAATGTTGTTTCATGCGTTCTTTCTTGTAAGCTATATTCTTTGTATTAGGTAAGCATTTTTATAGGCCGAAAACTGGAAACATTAAAAATAACTGTGCTTCATTAAAATTACTCTTATGAATTTAGTGATACAGTTTTGGAAATTAACTGATTTCCATTTTGAGGCTTCTAATTGAAATCTAAATTAGAGCTTACTGTTTCTTATAACCTTCATCTTGATAATAGATTTTTTTTTAAATATTTGTAAAAAAAGTGTTGGTTTTAGGTAATCTCGGTGCTGGTGCTGCATCTGGTGTTGCAACATATTGCATAATCTATCCATTAGATTTCGTAAGAACACGGTAATTTTTAATAACTTTATTTATAACTTTACATGTTTGGGATAATACCAGATGAAGTTTGGATTAACTTTAATGGGCTTATATTTACAGTTGGAACTCATAGTTACATCTATGCTATGTGACTCATTATTCTACAAGTTTAACTTGTAAATTCAGGTAATTCGAGTAATATTTGCAAAATTGTCTTTGTCATTTCACTGATAATTATCTAAATTCAACGTTCAATGAATATTTAGCTTAGCCATCGATATGGGGAAAGGGACAGCTCGGGAATTCTCAGGTTTTTTTGATTGCATGCATAAGATATTCAAGCATGATGGATTGCGTGGATTGTATTAGTAAGTGATTTCTATTATAGTTTGCTTATAGCAGGAGATATATTTGAATTTAATATCTGTACATGAGATAAAAGAGCCTTTTAAATTCATGATAAAACTTTTACATCAGTTATTATCTCTTATGTCATTGAAATTTGTATGAAATGTAAATTTTGCAGTGGTTTTTGGCCGTCACTTCAATATATTTTTCTGTATCGTGGAGCTTATTATGGCCTCTTTGATACAGCAAAAGCACAATTGAGTAAATATGGCAGTAATGATATCAGTTTCGTTTATGCTTTCTTGATTGGTCAGGTACTGAAAATTATTTTCTTTTGATGATTAATGTGAAAGAAATACTAATTTGTTAAGTGAAAAAAAAAAAGCAAAGATATACTGAGATGTTAATTCGAAATTTTATGAAGGATTTTTCAAGTAGAGGAAAGAATGCAATTGTTATAGGTAGTTACGTTTACAGCAGCTTTAATTTCCTATCCATTGGATACGATACGTAGACGTTTTATGATGCAAGCTGGTCGTAGTGATATACTTTATCGAGGTGTATGGCATTGTACAACGGTATGTTTCTTTCAACTTTAGAGCAGTTAAAGATTTTGAATTAGATTTAAACTAGATGATAGATGATAAATGATGGAATTTAATTTGATCTCGATTTATACTTGCCTATTTTCAAGATTCTTTTTTTCGTGTTTATAATGAAGACTAGAATAGTTAATGGAAAAGTTATCGATGTAAATCAAAGCTCTTGCCGAATTAAATTGCTTGATGTAGTGAAATACTCTTTTAAGGTTTTACTTAGCCAGTTGATCGTCAATTTGAATCAGTACCAGTTTTAGGCAGTTATTTTTCTGTCAGAATATGCTGTTTCAAATAAAATTTGACTCGTGAAATAATAAACGTTTATGTGAGAATTTGAAACTCGGTGAGATCATAATGATACTATGACATTTTTTACAGAAAATATGGTATGAAGAAGGTCTCAAGGCTTACTTTAGTGGTCTATGGGTAAATACGGTACGTGGTACTGGTGCTGCTCTTGTTTTGGCCTTTTACAATGAATTTTCGAAGTATTTATGATATTGAAATTGTAGATAATTAGTTTATATATAAGTGATTTCATGAAAAGCATTAACAATGCTTGGCATTTCCCTTGAAGTGATACTTTGTACTTTCTTCCACTGAACAATTTCAGTTCTTGGGTACATGTAATTTTTTTTTTTTACAAAATTGCAAAATGATGAAGAATTATCTTCGTACATAAATTATGTAAAGCCAAACTAAAGGTAATATTTTGATTAGGTATCACTTTGTTTAATTCTAATCTATTTCTCCAATTGCAGTTGAATTATTCTTTATCTTTTATGTTAGCTTATTGAATTATTGCAACATTAGGTTATTATTTGCATTGTATTGCAGTGTTTTTTTTTTATCTTTTTTAAAAATGTTTGTTTCCAAAGAAACAACTTTATCCTATTGAAAATGTTGTGTTCCGTGAAGTTATTCTCGAACTTTATGTAATTTTTTTTTTTTT